CTTCACAACGTAAAGAACAAGCAAATTAATAGAGACAAGAAGTAGAATGGTGGTTACCAGGAGTTGGGGAAAAGAGGAATCTGTGTTATTGTCTAACTGAGTGCAGAGTTTCTGTTTGGGAAGAGGGAAAAGTTCTGGGGCTGAATGGTAGTGATGGTTGCACAACAGTGTGAATATACTTAATGCCGCTGAACCGTACACTTAAAAATGGCTGAAATGGTATATTTTATATATAGTTTACCACATTAAAAGAAAAAACTTTTTAATGCTACCTTTAATGTAAAAGCAGGTGTGGGGACGGATAAGAACTCGTATTCATATTTGTTTGTGTATGTGCACAGGAATTCTGGAAAGCAAGAGTGCTGGGTTACCAAGGGGGCAGAAAGGAAGGAAACAGACTTGGGAGGGAGATACTGTAGCGTAAACCTTCAGTTTTTTGTTTTTTGAAGCACATGAATGTACTAGCTATTCAAAAGTAAAATTAGTTAAGACATTTGAAGAATTACTTTACTTAGGATTCGTAAGATTTGGGTGCATTTTTATGCTCGGACCATAACAACAATGATGATAACAATAATGATATTGGTAGCAGATAACATTTCTCAATTCGTATGTGTTAGTTTCCCACAACTGCTGTAACCTTTCGCCACAACTGAGTGGCTTACAGCAATGGAAGTGTATTCTCTCATAGTTCTGGAGGCCGCAAGTCCAAAATCAAGGTGTCAGCAGAGCCCTGACTCCCTCCGAAAGCTCTAGGGGAGGATCCTTCCTTGTCTCTTGCAGATTCTGGTGGCTCCTGGCATGACCTGGCCCTTTTGGCTGCAGCACTCCAATCTCTGCTTCTGTCTTCACAGGGCCTTATCTCTTCTGTCTGTGTCTTTAACACTTGTCATTGGATTTAGAGCCCACCCAGATAATCCAGGATGATCTCATTTTAAAACCCTTAATTACATCTGCAAAGACCGTTTTGGTTTTTTTTAATCCAAATACCATCACGTTCACGGGTCTTGGGGGATTAGGATGTGGATATATCTTTCTGCAGGTAACCATTCAACCCACTGCACTGACTCTGCTATGGTCGGTGCTAAGCCCCTGAGGTAAATTCACCCAAGTCCTTCAATAGCCCTGTGAAATAGATCACTTATTATCGCCATCTTACTAATGAATTCAGAAAGGTGAATTACTAATGAATTCAGAATCTTGCTCAAGGTCACACAGGAAGCTGTGTTGGGCTCAAAACTGATTCCCGTGTGAAGCACAAAATAAGCTTCTGGTTCTGGAACAATTGGTTAAACTCAAACAATCAGGCAGCAGATATTTCCTGGTGTGTTTGTTCTTTGGCAGCCCCTTGGCCAAGATCAGGGTTATGGAGAAAAGGGCAGAAGGGTGCGTCCCTTGAGAGTCGCTGGGAGAAGAGGCAGAGAAGGGGAACATATTATTCATCAGCCCTTTCGAAGCAGAACAATCAGATATGATTCCTGTCTTCTGGAGCATTGCCCTTGGCCTGAGACACCTCGGGGGCAACCAAGGCCAGGCATTTGTCATGAAGAAAAGGACAAAGGAATAAAGTTCGAATCCAAAGGGAATGCATCAAGTAGAGATAACATTTAATTAAGCAGCACTTCCTGCATGCTACTGACTGTTTTAAGAATTTGATGCACTCATTGAATCCTCCCTGTTTTACAGGTGAGGAAACCAAGGCACAGAGAGGTTAAGTGACTTGCTCAAGGCCACACAGCAGGAACAAGGCAGAAATGGGATTCGAACCCAGCTCTGCCCATCATCAGAGCCCTTATTGTTGTGTTTTTAAGTTGAGATGAAATTGACATAACATAAAATGAACCGTGTTAAAGTGAACCATTCAGTGGCGTTTAGTATTTTCATAATGTTGTACAACCACCACCTCTACCTAGTTCCAAAACGTTTTCATCACCCAGAGGCATACCTGATAGCAATTACTCTTCATTCCTCCCTCCTCCCAACCCCTGGCAACTACCAGTCTGCTTTTTATCTCTGTGGGTTTACCTGTTCTGTACATCTATATTTCCTTTTTCTTTTTAGTGGAGGTACTGGGGATCGAACCCAGGACCTCTTGCATTCTAAGCATGAGCTGTTTCCCTCCCTCCTCTGCATATCTCCTATTAATGGAATTATACACAATATGGGACCTTTTACGTCTGGCTTCTTTCACTCAGCATAATGTTTTCAAGGTTCATCCACATGGTAGTGTGTGTCAGTGCTTCATTCCTTTTTATGGTGAGTGATATTCCATTGTGTGCGTGGACCACCTTTTGTTTATCCATCCGTCTGCTGATGGGCACTTGGGCTGTTTCCACTTTTTGGCTATTGTGACTAGCGCTACTACGAACATGCGTTTATATGGAACATCTAAGTGGTTAATTTCATTTCATATGGATTTCATCTCGATATTGAAAAAATAATAATACTATCAACTGAGAGAGCTTAGAAGCAACCACATCAGCCCCCACCCCCAGTAGCAACGAGCAGAGTCGGCATCCATGTCTTGGCCTCTCAGTGTCACTCTCCAATAAAGTGAACCCAGGCTCCCTGGGGAGAGTGGCTGATTCTAGGACTGGGGCGGAGAAAATTCAAGATAAGCCTGGAACATCTTGTGGTGCCAGAAAGTGAGGAAGTGCTTTAAAAAAAAAATGAAGCTGTGCCAAAAGAGCAGTGCCTGAAATAAAATGCTTAGAGCAGGGGCCAACGGAAAGCGCTCCCAATGGCCAAAGTTGGAACAATTTGGACAATGAAATAAATAACAATAGCACTGGATTTTAACCCAAAGAATAAAAATAAGTGTTCATGAGTCCATATTAGTATAAATGATTGAACAAATAAATAAATGGAGATAAAACAACTCTTCCTGATAGCAGATTCCAAATAATCAATAATAGCAAATGTAAAAGGAGAGAGGTAAATGGAAAATTACTAATAAACAAACAGCACAGTAAGAATTTCTACACACACGATCCATCAACTAATGTGAAAATCGGTGGGTGGAACTTCAAAGAGAAACAGAATCTTTGCAGAGCTTGAAAGTGTCTCACTCAAAGTATTTATCACTTAGCGTAGTTTTAACATCTGCTCACAAATTCTTCCACACTCCTCCCAGGAGGTGGAGCTTAATTCCCCTGCTCTGGATGGGGCTGGGAATGTTGGATTCAGAAGTGTGTTCAGTTTGTGAAAATTCTTCTAGGTGTCCACTTACTATCTGGGCACTTTTTGGTGTGTGTGTCATACTTTGATAAAAAGTTCAGTTTGTCAGCATGGAAAAAAAAAGAAAGAAAGAAAAGAAATAGATGCAGTTATCTGTTTCAGAAATGCACATGTTGGTATTAAAACTGTAATGAGCTTTCCCCTTGAGAGTGTACTATTGCTTAATAAACCCTCACTTCACTTTCTTGAAAAAAAAAGTAATGAAAAGCAAGGAAATGATGATGGATAAAGTCAAGATGGTCACTTTTGCAGGGAGGAAGGGACTGTGACCAGGGAAGGAGGACATCTGTGGTACTGGCACCACCCTACTTCCTATCTGGGTGATGATGACATGAGTGTCCTGTTTATAATGATTCTTTAAATTGCACAAATTGCAAATGTACGTTTTTCACATTCTGGTGGCATCCTAGAGCAGGTTTATAGTAACCTGTGAGAACCGATTTGTTAACTTTTAGGAATTCGGAGACATCTGAATTCCTAATATCTGATATCACGTTGGTAGCTTGAAATTGGCAGAAACCTATAACTGCTACAAATCGGGGCCTTTTTTTTTCCCCTGGAGAGCCCATTGTTAAACATTTCCCAGCACAAAACAGTTTCTCTCTATTATGATATTATATAAACACTTACAAATTATTTTAAAATTCTGGTAACATACCCATAACATAAAACGTACCATTTTAGCCATTTTAAGGGCCCAGTTCAGTGGCATTAAGTACATTTCCACTGCTGTGCAACCATCACTACCATCCATCTCCAGAACTCTTTTCGTCTTGCAAAACTGAAACTCTGTCCCCATAACAATTGTTTTTTAACCTTTTAAAGTTTTCCCTTGCAGAACATGGATTCTGGACACAGAGGCTCTGTTCAAATTCCAACGCCCAGCCCCATTTACTAGCTGACCTTGGGCACCTTATGCCACAACTCTGTTTCCACATCAGTAGCATGGGGGTACTCTTAGTCCTAATCTCATAGTCCAGTGGCTCTCAAAATTGTGGTTTCTGGACCAGAAGCATCAGCATGGTCTGCAAATTTTTTGCAAATGTAGGCTGACCCCAGTGAGCTGGGGGGTTTTGTTTGTTTGTTTTGTCTTTTTGTGGGGGAAGGGGAGGTAATAGGTTTTATTTATTTATTTTTCATGGAGGTACTGGGGAATGAACTCAGGATCCTGTGCGTGCTAAACACACACTCTACCACTGAACTATACCCTCCCCACCCCATCCCCAGCGAGCGGTTTTAACCAGCTCTCCAGGAGATTCTGAGGTTTGCTCAAATTTGAGAACCATTATTATCATAGGTTTAGGGAGGATTAAATCATTAAACAAATGTAAGTATTTAGAACGGTGCCTGGCTCCTTGGCTCATGCACTGTAGACATTCACTGTTGTTATTACCAAGGAGTCGAGAGACACTAGCAGTACAGCGGTGTTGGGCGGTGTTGGGGGTGCTGGCTGTGCCCCCTCTCCACGTCTGGTGGGGGCTCTGGGTTCCTTGTCACTGCTGAATAGAGGCCTTCTCGCCTCTCTGTTGACGATGACAGTGAGCTGTACCACATCACCTCATCCTTGATGAAAGGTTATCACTCGGTCCGGGAAACGGGAAAGGTTGGGTTGGGGGGGACCCATGCCCGCCTCCCCTCTGCTGGAGGAGATAAAGGAGGTCACTTGGCTCCTCCACCGCAGGTAGGGGGAGCTGAGAAGTATAAATGGGGGGCCAGGAGGGAGTGGAGGAAACTGCCTCACTGCACCCACTCTCACATCTCAGGCAGCCCCGTCCAGCATGGCCAAGCGCCCGCTGCTGCTCCTGCTGGCTGTGTGGGTGCTGGCTGGGGAGCTGTGGCTGAGGACCGAGGCCCGAACAGCACCCTATGGAGTGAAGCTTTGCGGCCGTGAATTCATCCGAGCAGTCATCTTTACCTGCGGGGGCTCCCGGTGGAGACGGTCGGACATCATGGCCCATGAAGCTCTGGGTGAGACTGGGGAGGTAGTGTGTATGACGGGGAGGGGGATTGATGGGATGTGGGATAGGTTCAAGGAGAGATGAAGGGCCAGGGCAGGAGAGTCCTTCCTTTCCTACATGCAGCTGGGAAAATGGGCCAAGGCTGGGGGAGCCAGTTAGCAGAGCTGTGGAGCTGGGATGGAGGGGTGGGTCGGCCAACCATTTCCACCTGCTAAAAGTCAGAGAACAGGCTACTCTTTCTGGAACACCTGCTATGTTCGAGCCCTGCGATAGGAAAGGCTGCTGTTTGTACGACCCTGGTAGGCACCATTCAGAAGCCAAAACTGAAGTGATTTCCAACTCTTTAGGGAAGGTAGTGTGAGGGGTGTGGTGTATACGATTTGCCCCCTAGGAGGTGACCTTCCTTCCTTATTGCTTTCCCTCCTTGATCCTCTTTATCTGCAAAGAGGAGGCAAGACCCTGTATCTTGCAGGTTTGTTAAGTGGCAAAATCGAGTCAAAACAGATTAGGACACAGTCTAAACAGGTCAGTAGGCTCAATCTGGGCTCAAGCAGAGGGCAGGCAACTGGTAAAAAATAGATGATGATGATGATGATATGAATGTGGACTTAGAAGACACACTGCCTGGATTCAAACAGCAGGTCTGCACCTTAATAGCCGTTTGTCCTTGTGAAGTTACTTTACTGAATTGGGCTTCAGTGTTGTCCTCTGGAAAATGGGGGTGATAATAACAGCATGGAGTTGTCGCTGAGAAGGATAAAGGACTTAATCTGCTAAAGCCCTTACAGCAGTGTCTGGCGGGGAAAAAAAAAAGAAGCAGTGTTTGGCACACAGTAAGTGCTCAATAAATAATCAGTGCTATTTTGTGCACTTGCCATGTGCCAGACACTAATTTTTTAAATGGGTATTAATTAAGTCATCTACTCTGTATAAAACCCTAGAAGGTCCGAGTTATTATTATCCCCACTTTGCAGACAAGGAAACTGAAGCTCAGAGAAGTAAATTTACTTGTTCAGGATTATAACTCAGAGGCTGGATCAGTGCTTAGTTTGGCTCCCAAACACATGTTCTTAACTATCAGGTCCTCCATAAATAAATAGTAAGGGAAAAGAGGGGGAGGGTAGTAGCTCAGTGGTAGAGTGTGTGCTTAGCACAAGGTCCTAGGTTCAATCCCCAATACCCCCACTAAAAACAAAACAAAACAAACAAACAGACAAAACAGTAAAGGAAAAGTCAAGTTTAATGGAGTTGAGTAAGCTGCCTATCAAAGCTGGAACCCAGGCCTGACTGGAATCAAAACCTTTACCCACGAGGCTGAGTCATAAGAACAGAGAAGTAGCTGGACCAGCCAGAAACCTGGACTCTGGGTGTGACAGGAGTGAGTCCTAAGCACTAAGTCTTTCCATCTTTTGCAGGGGATGCCTTCCCAGATGCAGACTCCGAAGCAAACAGCGAGCTGGATGAGGCAGTGGCTTCCAGCGAGTGGCTGGCTCTGACCAAGTCCCCCCAGGCCTTCTACGGGGGCCGACCGGGCTGGCAGGGAATCCCCGGGGCTCTGCGGGGCAGCCGCGATGTCCTGGCTGGCCTCTCCAGCAACTGCTGCAAGTCGGGGTGCAGCAAGAGTGAAATCAGCAGCCTCTGCTAGAACGGAGACAGGGGAGGGGCACTGGGGTGAACGCCCCAGCCCTGCCATCCACCTAACTGGTGTCCAGCTGGGCACCAGGCACTGTGGGCTCCCCCTACCCAACCCTGACCTTCGTCCAGCCTACCCTGAACTGTACCTGGCCAAATGGGGACCCTGACCTCTCCCCAACCTGTATCATGCCTTTCCTGGCCTATGCTGTCCCCTGATGCAACAGTGCCCCTACTCTCCCCAAACTGGCCACACTGAGACCCTTGCCCAAATTGTGACTCTCTCCTGCCCTAACTGTGGCCACTGTCCCCTCGCTAACCCAAATTATAGCCCTGCCCCATTCCAGCCTTTGCTCCCTCCCTTCCCCCTGCCTTCCAGCCCCTCTCCCTCTAACCCCGCCTGCTGGGGTTCTAATGCCGTGGGCCCGTGTTGGTGATCGGACCCCTCTGTTCTGTTCATATCCTGGGGTGGGAAGCTTGGTGGGGGGAATGGATCAGAACCTTCTACGACCCCCAAAATAAAAGTTCCAAAGGACTTTGCAGGGTGTGCGTGGTGTTTTGTGGGGAGGGCGGGTATCAGGGGAGCGAGGCCGCTCCCTCAG